CTGGAGGTGAGGCTGCCCCAGTGCAGAGCAGAGTGGGACAATCCCTCCCTGGGCCTGGTGGCCCTTTGGGCTGCCAGCAGTGACTCAGATCCAACTTGCCACCCACCAGGACCCCCAGGTCCCTTCCCACGGCGCTGCTCTCCAGCCTCTCATTCCCAGCCTGTCCCTGCATCCAGGGCTGCCCCATCCCAGGGCAGGATCTGACACTTGCCCTTGTCACATGTCACATGGCTGGCGATTGCTCAGCCCCAGGGTTTGTCAGGGTCTCTGTGCAGGGCAGAGTTTACTTGGTGTCGAGGCAGTATCATCCTACAAACAAATTCCTGACCCTATGGAGACATCCCTGAGAACTGGGGAGCTCAACACAGCAGCAATTGTCTCAGACGATTCAGCATCTGTGTGAAGCATTAGCAAAATGAGTAGCTGAGACATCAAGCAGATGCAGCCTATTTAATTACGGTCTCTGACTGCAATGAGCTAAAAGAAACATTTAGCTCTAGGAAAAAAAAATAAAAATAAAGAGGCACAGAGACCAAAGCATCCCTGACATTGCTCGGAGATGATATCATCTGTACAACACCTACTTCCACAGGCAGGAGTCAGAGCTGACACCGCCCCCGCACTCAAGGGAAAAGAAAGGTTAAAGACAATTGGGAAATGGGACATGCAAAGCACCTGGATGGTATCTGCAAGCTTTAAAGGTGAGGGGAAAAAACCACTCCCCTCCCAAACAAACCTCACTACATTTTGTTGCCTCCTCCTTTCAGCCAGCCAAGGTCATAGCAGATGTCACCAGTGCTCCAAGAGGACCTTGGCCATGGGATCAGTGACCCCCGTGGGCTGTCCCGAGCATAAACACACCTCCAGCTTATCCCAAGGGCACGGGAGGAGCAGCTCCCTACTATGCTGGACTTGCCTGCCCAGGGTCTCAAGGCGTGGCCCTCCTTCCCTTCCCCTCCCATCCCAAAAGCTCCTTTTCCCTGACCCTGCTTGTGCAGCTCCAGTCCTGTGCTGGTTTTGCTGCCAGGGCTGTCGGCATTGTCCTGCCATTCCTCTTCCCTCGGAATGGATCATGAGCAGCTGCCTTGCTTCAACACCAGGCTCTGGGCAGAGGAAGCCCAGGCTGCTGCTTCCCAACTCTTGGTCACTTGTAAAGGCAGCTCAGAGTCTGGAAAAGGGAAGAGTCACCTCCTCCAAAACACCAGTAAACCCCTTGTGCCCTACTGCAGGCATCCCAAGGTTTTCCAGGAGCCAGAGTTCCCAACAGATCCCGCCCTCCCTACAGAGACAGAATGGCCCAAAAAGAACTCCAGGAGTCCCATGACTGCTCCATCAGTGCCAGCCCCAGCAGCACTCCATGCTCCCCTCTGCTGCCAACACTGCACAGGGGTTTGACAACAGCCAGGGAAAAACCAGCAAGGCAGGGGAAAAGCAGCAAGGCAGCAGTCAGCGAGCTCCTACCTGTGCTCCTGGCCTCAGCAGGTCACCCCTGCAGAGGGCTCAGCCCTGCTCTGCACCCTCTGACTGTGCTGGCAGGCACCGAGGCCGAGCTTCCTTTTTCAAAAGACGGGAAAAAATCCTCCCCGTTTGTTTCATGGGCGGCCACAACCCGGAGGCTCCGCAGCTGGGGAGGGGTCAGACACGAGGCCACCTCCCTCCTCCGTGACCCCAGCGCCGGGCCGGCCACATCCTGCTGCCTCTGGTGAAACAGCCCTTCAGCACAGCCCAGGGAGCAACGCAGCTCTCCACATCAGCGATTCGGCCAGTTTCCTGCCACAGAAGCCAGGCTGCTGTCCTTGAATCCCACCGAGTCTAGCTGCTTATCACCCTTGGGTGGGGAGTCTGTGACAGTCACCGCGTCCCCTGAGCTCCCCAGGAGAGAGGAGACACGATCCTGCCATCCCTGAGCCATCCCCAGGGCCCTTAATGCCAGGCCAGAGTTCTCAACACAGGACACAAAACCTTCCTGACTCATAAAGCAGCCCTGATAAAGGTATTTTGGATGCACTGAGCATTTCAAGTAAAAATTCATTCTGAATTTACAGAGTGAGAAAGAGAAGAAAAGCAGCTTCGATCAGGCAACTTGCACAAAACAGCCAGGACGGACACACACGCACATTTTCTCCACAATTCCACCCCCCTCCTTTCACACATCCCTTCCTACGGCCACTCTGCACTAGCCCAGTGTCTTTGGGACAGGATGATCCCGGATTTCTCCGATCAAAGAAGAGATTTTACTACAGAGAGCAGGGACCAGAACAATCCTGGCAGCCTCACTGCACTAATGGCAGCCAGTTTCTGCTCCTCCAGAGCCAGTCTGGCAACAAACAAGGGCTTGTCTTTCCAGGACGAGACTTCCAGCTGCTCTTTTGAATGGATTTGTGATATGAGGAGCGAAGGTCTGCCCCGTGCTTACCTCGGGAAGGGCAGGGCAGGGCAGGGCCAGGAGGGCTCAGTGTGGCTGGAAGGCGCCTCTGGCCATTCATAATCCCGGCCAGCCGGCACTTCCACGTCAGCCGCTTCCTGTCTGGCACTGACTGCAGCCTCCCGGCCCAGGGAGCTGCCAATGTTTTCCCAAAAGCTAATCCTTCCCCTCTGCAAGCTCCGTCTTTCCTCCCGCAGGATCGCTCCGTGTCGCCACGGCCGTTCCCTTCGGCACTGCCTTCCCCGTCCGTCCCCCGCGCTCAGTCCCGGCAGCTGAAGCTGCTCAGAAGTTTCTGGAGAAGGAAAAGCTAAACCCAGCCCAGCTGCACCTCCAGCCCCAGCCCGGGCACGCACCAGCCCCACTTCATTCCGCGTCTCTGCAGGACAACATCCACATTTTTCTTTTAGAAAGTGCTTTAGCAGCAGCCTCCGCAACCAAATCTGAACAGGGGCACACTGGAAATGCTGAATTCCCAAGGTTTGGGCAAACAAAGAGCCTTTTGTCTTTCATCAGAGTCAGCTTTAAGAAGGTCCTGCCTATTGCCAGCCACCCTCAGGCCCTGCTATTCCAATCTGCTGCATAATTTGGAAATTCCCAAGTAAGAAACGGTACAGTTCCCTTGGGACTTCACACGTCTCCTGGGACTTCCCAGCTCTCTAGGCCCTTCCTGGAAAGAGGGTGGCTTAGGAGAAGGGAAGAGGTTGGTTTAGGAGCAGGGCAGGCTCCTAAGCCATGGAGAGGCAGAGCCCATCTGCATGAGGAAAGGAAAAGGCATGATAAAAGACCAAAAATAGTTATCCTGGGCTTTAACTGGCATCTCCTTTGCCCCTGCAAGGCCAAGCATTCCAGACAATCCTAAAGTCGAGTTAGTTTATGGAATAAAGGGGAAAGCCCTGTTAAATTAAGCCATATCTGGGATAGCAGAAGATCCACCAGAGGTGAGGGGATCAAGAGCTGCAGGTGGGAATGCTGCTGCTTGGAGCAGAGAGCCCAGGGCAGCCAGCACTGAGACACCAGCATCCATCCCGGGCAGATGGATGAACAGGGAATTTATTGCTTGGCTTCAAGCTCAGGATTTACATTCAGGCCATAGGCAGTGACAGGAGGGACGTTATGGGTGACACTGCTCACACTGCACAGGGATGCTGAGGGAGGGCAGTGAGGCAGTGAGTGCTGGGGAGGCTGGAAAACCCAGTCTGGCAAGGGAGAGGGAAGGCAAGAACCCCAAATTTCCAGCGTGGTTTGTCCCCCTAGCCTTCCTCCCCACAGCCACAGAGGGAGAAAAGCCACATGAGAAAGTAAGTTCTGTAAAAGGTCCCCTCCTGCTTCCCTCCCCAGAGGGGAAGAAGGTCAGGCAGCAGATGCTGCCATTTCCAACTGTTCCCGTGGAACAGCAGTGAGGGCAGGGAGCCCCACGGAGCCCCGGGTGTTACTGACTCAGGGCCAGCCCTGCTGCCTCTTACGTGACATCTGCATCCATTGCAATGTCAGAGCCCTGCTGGGAGGTTTCCATGGATCCAGCCGGGATGGGGCTGCGTGTGGAGGCAGAGCTAATCCACTGCAGGCTTTGCAGGGCTGAGCTAAGCTGACAAGCTGGGTCACGACTCCAGCACACAGGTTAACTGCACACACAAGTATTTCCAGGGCAGAGAACGGCCAGTGATGGCGTGGTAGGAACAGCCCCCTCTTTTCCAAGTCCCAGAGCAGCCTGGTCCTTTGGGAAGGCCTCTCACTGTCCCCACTACAGGGCTGGAAGGGCAGGGTGGTGTTAAGTCCCAGCTGAGCTGTCTCTCCCTGCTTGTGCAGGCTCTGTACTGTCCTCACTGGACAGGGATATTTCTGGGCCCACAGCAGCTCCATTTCCTCTAACTTTGGGATCTGGCCCCATCCAAACCAAAGCTAACATAAATGTGGAGCATGAAATTTGCATTAGGATGATAAAATGACTATGGCACCATTCTAACTGGGCTAGGATCCCAGGAAGTGGGGGATCACACCCCAGGGCTGAGCTGGAGCACGAGCTGGCCACACGGCCAGCCTTTCCCAGAGCATGGCTAATCCCAGGGACAAACATCCCTTCTCCTCATGTTAATGTCACACGTTGGGATGAATGGCAGGATTGTTTCTTGCTGACAGCAGAGGCCCACGAGGCCTCTCCTGCCCTAGCAGGAGATATGGGAGGAACTCAATCCCTTAGCACAGCTCCAGGCACAGAAAGAGCCCGTGGATGTGGAGCTGGAGACCACCTCAACATCAACCACATCACAGAGGGAGAGGAAAGAGAGAGGGAAGCAAAGGAAGCCAGACAACAGCTCCAAGAGAGGCCTGCAGAAAATACAGGGCCTTTCAGTGCAGCCACGGGGCCAACTCAGCTCCTGCTGCAACCTCAGCCATAGTGTGGGTGGCTCCAGCTCACCTTCTGTCCCACGAGTCCCCTGGGATCAGCACAGGGTCACACACGGGAGTGTCTGGCAGCATCACCACTGTGGCCTCGTCTCACTCACACTGACCCAACACCAGCACCAGCCCTTTGGGACCTCAGCCAGGTTTTCTGGAGGAAGTCAAAGCTGTCAGAGGGTGATAGATTGTTTTGCTCTGGCTTTGCCCACTTGCAAAAGTTGTTGTTCTGCTGGGGTTCTTTTCTGGCCTTTGCTGACTCCATCCCTTCCTCTGCCCTCCCTTCTGCTTCACATTTCCGGAGCAACAACCCACCCAACTTCACCAGGAGCAGAGCAGCACCTCTAGCACACCACCAGCTCCAGAGGGAAGCAGGCAGCAGATCAAACCAGGCCTCAGGGATAACTCTGCCTCCCAGGGGCATCTGGAAAAAGGAGGATAAAGGTGCAGCCTAAGGTGCACTCTTTATTGACAGCATTAGCTGGGTATTACATATTCCTAAAGATAAGCTGATAAACCTCCAGCAAAGCTGGTTCTGGATCCACTTACAGCAGCATTTATGGCTCAAGAATCAGAAAACACTTCCCTGTCTTATTAGAAATGAAAACTCAGCAATCGAAAGCAATTCTCTTCCCAGACCGGTGGGCAGGATTGGAAAGGTTTTGCAATCTCTGTGCTCTGACCCCAGATACTTTCACTACTCACAAGGGACATTTTCATTGGTGGGGCCATGGAGATCCCCAGCCCTCACAGAGGAGCAGGAGTGACCAAGCACAGCACAGATCTGGACAGCCCAACCTCCAAAAGGGACTAAATCACCCCATTCCAGTGGGGAGGGTACTCTTCACCCCAGCAGTAGAAGGGCCACGTTAGATGTGGACAAGGAAGGCAGCTGCAGTGAAGCAGGACAACTTTGCTCGGGATGCTGAGTCTTCTCCAAGCTCCCCAAGCACATGGGAGAGCCCATTTCCCTGTGTGGTGATGGCACAGGTGACAATGCAACCCCACGTGTCAACAGAGCATCCCAGGAGCTGCAGGGTGAGCCAGGCACAGAGGACCAGCTCCCTGCTCAGCGCCTGCACTCAGCTCCTCGCTAGAAACCAACAGCTCCAGGTTTTGCCACCATTGGCAAGAATTCCCAATGCCCCTCTCCCTGTTTCTGGGGATTTTGAAGAGTCACAAGCTGACCCCAGGTTAACCTCACAGTAAGTGACTAAGACAGAAAGTGAATCTGAAACATGGGATACACAGTCCAGGGAGCAGCGACAGACATCCAGAGGGAGCTGGATGTGAGCCTAAAGTTGGGAAAGGAAGCAGAGTGCAAGGACAAAGCCCTGGGGACTGTGATAAACAGGTGGCTGGGGAAGTTTCACATCTCCCAGCAAAATCCCTCCCTGCCCTGCAAATTGGCAAAAGATTTCCAGACTGGAAAAGAGCTTTTAACAAAGGGATGGAAAAATAGAAAGTATAGCCACTCTGCAGCTCCAAGCTCTAGGAGGAGGGAATCCTGCCTTGCACTAGCACTGACAGAAATGCTTTTCCCAAACATCTGTGCTGGACACTGGACAACTTCAGATCCCCTGTCCTTTCCCTCCAGAGCACTTCCTGCCCTTTCCTTTTGCCTGTCCTTCTCACGCAGCTTTCTCTGAAGGAGCTGAGCTCACTGTGCCGCAGATCAGATCAGAGGCAGCTCTGTAAGATCAGGATTCCTGAGCCCGCAGCCAGAGACAGAAACAGAGCAGGAGTTTGTTTTCAAGCTCTCCTGACAACTTCTCCCTCATGACAGCTGAGCCGTGGCTCACCATGACCTGAAAAAAATGGAAAATTCCCCATTCCCCAACCAGTTTAGAGACTGAAAGGTCTGAACTTCAGGGCTATGCCTTTACCTATGGCAGCTGGGCTGGAGAAAGTCGGGAGAGAGAGGTGGGATAAAACAGGGAAGTTGCAAGCTGTAACTTCACAGTTGTGGCACCAACTCCCTTACTCTCTGCGATGGATTTTTTTACCCTCATTATGAATTTTTCGGTTGCTCATGAACCCTGCAGCAGGTCCGTCCCCTTCCCGACCCCTCTGAAGGGAGCAGCCAGAGCTCTGCTCGGGGATGTCCCATCCAAGGGGTTTCTGCTCCGGGCCGGGCCAGCACAGGCAGCTCCACGCCCCGATCCCCGCCCTGATCCCGGCCCGGGGGGCTCCGGCCGGGCCGCGGCCGCCATCGCCCCCCGCCCAGGCAGACACGACCCATCCATTACCGCGCAGGGCGGGGATGCGGCGGCCGCGGCTCAACAGGTCCCGGCCCGTCCCGCCAAGGCCGGGGAGGGCCCGGCCCGGCCCCGCCGGGGGAGCGCGGCCACCGCGGCTGGGGGGACACGTGGGCAGGGCCGGGGACACGCGGCCCCCTCCAGGCCCCTCTTCCCCGGAGGCCCCTCCGAGCCCGTCCCGCGGGGCCCTCCTCCCTCACAGACACTCCCGTGTCCCCTCACACCGCCCCGTGTCCCCTCACTGCCCCCCGAGTCCCCGCACCTGCCGGGCCGCGGTGTCTCTCCGGCGGACGCGCACAGCCGCCCGGGCCGCAGCACTCCCTGAGCGCGGGCCGCAGCACGCGCCGCGCTCCCGCCGCTCCCGCCGCTCCCGCGCCCTCCCGCGCGCCGCTCGCGGCCGGCGCTACTTCCTCTTAAAGGGGCCGCCCCCCCGCGCCGGCCCCGCCCACGGCAGGGACGGGCGGGGACGGGAAAGGCACAGCGGATCTCGGGGGGGACAGTTCGTGTTTTATCGTCTTCTAAAAATTTTATTGTAGTTTATTTTACTCTATGTTCTTTTATGCTATTTCAGTATTTTGTTCTACTTATCTGAATTCCTTTTATTCTATTTATTTTCTTTTATTCTGTTTCATTTTCTATTTTCTATTTTCTGTTTTATCCTTATTTTGTTTCTTACATTATCTCAATATGAATTTGATTCTATCTTCTTTTTATTTTCTATTTTAATTCTATTTTAATTTTCTATTCGCTCTTGTTTTCAATTTTCTTTTATTTTCATATTTTCTTCTGTTTTATTTATTTTTCTTTATTTATTTTCGTAATTGTATGCATTATTTCCTTTTATTCCATTCCAGTTATTTCCCCCTCTTCCATTTTATTTATTTTCTTCTAGTCAGTTTTATTTATTTTCTTCTTTTAAATTGATTTTCCCATTTTATTCTGTTCTGTTTGTTTCTGTTTGCTGCAGCAGCCCCGCTGTGCCCCTGTGCAGGGCTTTGGTGCCGCGGGGGCAGCTGGGATCCCCCGTGCATCACTTTTGGCCTCTCAGGCAAGTACTATTACTTCAACAATTTAATATATTGATCCTTTCACACTCCTAAAAATCTAAAAACCTGATGAGCAACTTTATTCTAAACAGCACAGCAAGAGACTGAGATGAGGGTAAACTGCTGATTGGCTGTAGGGAATATTAACAAGGAATGGGAAGGAAACATATATAGATATAATAATCTATTAACAGTGTATACGTGTTGAATATATTAACCTATAATCCGATATACATCCTAAATAACCTAAATCAGCTTTGTATTGTTATTAAGGCTAAATGTGCTATTCTGAATTCACTCAGGAAGACTCCTGGGAGTGTACAGCTGACATACAGCTGACATTTAAATATGCAATAGGCATTGGAGTCCACTACACATGCCATTGCTTCCCCTCCTGTTTTATGTCTGTACTTTGTTATTTATCTAAAGAAGAATTAAAACTTATTCAGGACTGAATTTTCTGGGGTGGCCTCAAAAAACCTGGAGGGACCTGCCCAGACCTCAGCTTTAAGGTCACAAAAAGGAGAAGTGGCCGGAGCCAGTTCAAAGGGAACTGCTCAGGGATGTGGAAAATCAAAGGTGGGAAATCCCTGGGAAAGCCCAAAGCTGAACCAGAGCCTGCAGAGCTCCTGCCCCACCAGGGCTCCTCCAACACTCCTGCCTGGAGCCTGCAGCTCATCCCAGGTGCCCCAAACCTTTGCAGACCCCAGTTCAGCCCCTCAGGTGTTCACAGCCCCCCATTCCCCTCCCACCCTGGGTGTTCACAGCCCCCAATTCCACCCCCCCCCGGGTGTTCACAGCCCCTCTCCAGCCCAGCTGAGCCGCAGGGCCTGGGGTGAAGCTTCAGCTGCTCGGGGGTCTCAGGCTGCTCGGGGGTCTCAGCTGCTCGAGCTGGCCCCAGCTCACGGCGGCAGCTCGGCTGCTCCTGCCCCAGGAAGGGCCGGGGCCTCTGTGCCTGCATTCCTCCATGGAGCAGATGATGCTCTGCCCCAGGGCGCGAGCCTTGTGCCAGGCTCGTGGGCAACTCTGGGTCACAGAACCACGGAATGGAGGTTGGGAGGCACGGCTGGAGCTCACCTGGCTCAGCAGGGGCCCCTGAGCACACCAGGAGCGTGTCCAGATGGCTTTTGAGGATCCCCAGGGAAGGTGACTCCACCACCTCTCGGGGCAGCCGTGCCAGCGCTCGGGCACGTGCAGGGCAAAGTTCTTCCCCTGCTCAGGTGGAATTTCCTGTGTTCCAGTTTCTTCCCATTACCTCTGGTCCTGTTGCTTGGCCCCGATACCTCCAGGCATTTTATAAACTATATATCCATATATATATATATAAAATATATAGATATTGCCTCTATCTATACCCATCTCTTCCCCATGCCCCAGCTCCCACAACCTTTCCTTACAGGAGCTTCTCCATCCCCTCATCATCCTCACAGCCCTGCACAGGCCCCAGGCCAGGAGCTCCAGCTCTGCTCCAGAGGAGCCCAGAATTGGACACAGCACTCCAGGACTGAGGAAGGGCCAGGATCAGCTCCTGGCCCCCCCGCCCCAGTTCAGCTCCTGTGGCTCATTTAACACTTGAGGTTTGCTCCAGGCACTTCCTGGGTTGGGGTTTACTTTTGTTTCCATCAGATTTGTGCAGTCTCACACCATGGCAGGTGTGAGAACAGAGAATCTGGATCCTTCCTGAGCAGCATCTGCCAGCAATGAGCCACCAAGTTACCGGACAATTCCCAGAAGAGAACTGGTAGCTCCTGACTCTCAGCCCCAGGGATTTTCTGTCTCAAGATGATTCTCACAGGTTCTAGTGTGACTGGAAACCACTGGGACATCAGCCAAGCCAAGGCTTAACTCCTGCTGTGGCAGGACAGGGCCTTAATCCTCATCTCAATGTCCCCACGTTTGTCACAGACTTCACTGGAAGCCAAGAGGAAGCAGCAGCAGGGGCTGACTCCAGCTTCCTTCAGACCAGAGCTCACATTTTTCCAAGTATTGGATTTTAGGTGCAATCGTGATTCAAAAAATAAAAACGAATGGAGATTTAAGTGAGATAGTAAATTATTTTTTCCTGTAATTTCAGTGTTAGTGACAGCCACTGTTGTAGAGCTGCCTTTCAAAGAGGTGGCATTAGGAATTGCCTTTGGGAAGGGAGATACATTCAGATCCACTGAAGATACATTGTTCAGCACTGGGGTAAATCCATGCCTTGGTTTTGGCTCCATCCAAACTGGAACAGCATTTACAAACTGAAAGCAGCATTTACAAAGCCAAAAATTTAACTTTGTTTTGAAAGTTTATTGGATCATCTTGACACAAAATCATTACAGCAGCTTGTGGTATGTTGTTTTCTTTTTCTTTTTTTTTTTCCAGGGAATGTTGATAGCAAATAAATTTGTGAATGTAACACATCATACAGTTTCAAAATTCTAGAATCACTGCACAGGATTCTGTAAGAGACTCTACATGCTAAAGTGACAGTTTTCATCCATGAATTAAAAAACCCAAACACTAATTGAGGAACATTATCCTTTAAGACAATTTTAATATGTTCAGTTTCTAATACACAACTGGCTAACCAAGGGAGGCTGACCAAAACCAAACCCTCCACGTCCTGGCAGCACGGTCAGACACAGAACTGGGCCTGGCAAGGAACCCAGAGCACCAGAGCAGAGCCTTTGCCAAAATACCTCCTGTGGGAAGAGTGTAAAGAGCACAAGACACGCATAAAGTACAGGACATCACCCAAGGGATAAGATCAACACTTCATCCTGCTCCCTGTGTAGGGGTTTGGTGTTTTAGGAGTGGTGGTGGTTCTGGAGACGTGCAGACCCAGCCAGCTCCTCCCTGGGCACCTTTTTGGAGCAATCAGCTGCTCCTGACCTGCCTCGAAGCAAAACTGTTCCATGGAGTTTTACTCACTGGGTGAGGAACAGTGAGGAAAGAAATGGAGCACAGGGGGAATAAAAAATATGTTGAAAGCAAGGGTTGGAGAAGGACATCAGCTGAGCATCTTGGCAAGACACCATGACATCCCTTTCCTATCAGTGACTCCACAAGATTCCTGTAGTGCAGTGGGCACTTCCCAGACTCTCCTTCCCTCTAAAGCAACAGTTACAGTCCCAAATCTGCAGCTCCCCAGCGCCCTCCCCATCCTGCAGCCTGGCAGGGAGAGCAGCTCCCCATGACCCTGTCCTGCACCCTGCCAGGAGAGGGGACCCTCACTCCATCCCCTCCTGCACCCTGGCAGGGAGAGCTCTGCCACAGGGACCCAGGGGCACTTGTGCTGCTACATCTGCTCTCATTGCTGCAAGGGCAGGACCAAGGGACACTGAGGGGACACAGACACAATGACCCTGCTGGTTCCAGAGTCCAGAGAGAGGACATGGACCTGCACACAAGGGGCTGCACCGTGGCTCTTTCTCTAGCCTGCTAATGGTCAAACCTCAGCTGGTGAGCAAAAGGATAAAAAAGCAGGAACAGACCCCTTTGGATTTCCAGTTTCTTGCTATA